ATTTTGGTACGGAGTTGGGTTCTTTTTTTTGTGAGTTCCAGTATGTTACCAATCTTTGTACGTTGCGGCTTGATATATACTATTCCAAGTTTTTGTCAAAATGACATTTTGCAAATCATGTGAAGAGCAACATGCAAACTATGAATTTGAAGGATGGTGGAGAAAAAAACATAGAAGTGTGAGAAAGATTTGCTACTAAAATCAAATTGATATCAAATTTTTACAAAGCCTCATGAGAGAAAGTAGCTGAATTTGAAGAATAGTTCTAGTAAACTGAACTCTAAAAGAATAATGTTCAGCTATTTGATTTTCATTTTTACTCGTGGTATATAAAAAGAATCATGTTTTTTAGAGCCTTCATGAGTGGTGTATATTTTTTCCTTCAATTAGTATTGATTGGTGATGATGCATGTCAGCATTCATGTCAGAATTGATGACACAATATTAGAGTCATCTTAATAACTAAATATGCCTAACAAACAAATCTAACAACTAGGATCAATAAAATCGCAATTTGAATAGGAATTCTACGATCCTGTAAGATCTGGGCCACTATTCATTTCCTATCAATTTGGGATTCTACTAGAGATTAGAGATTTGGACCGATTTGTTTATTTTGGATCGTAACATCATAAGATGTGGATCGAGATTTGACAATCATAATCATAACCAAATCGAACATCAACTTGGGGCTGTTGGGCTCGGCTTGGGCTTGTTATTTTATAAAACGACCCGAATATGAACAAAAAAATAGGTCTGTTTTAAAATCGAGCCAATCCCAAGACTGAGTTGCCCACGAGCTAGCCAAGCTTGTATTTTTTCTCTTAATTTTTTATTTTCACTCCTGAACTAAGTTGGACACAATTGAAATTCCTTTTAATTTTTTTTAAAAAAAAATCACAGCTTTATGTAGACCTGTCAAAATCTGACACGACATGATTAACTGACATGAATCAATACGATTTTAAGCGGGCTTGAATGAAATTTTAATAGGTTTGGATGATAAATAGATTGACCCGTCAGATTAAACGAGTCGTGTTTGAGTTAAGACTTGTCAATCTATGTACTAATGATTTATCTGTTTAAATAAAATTAATATAATAATTATTATTATTCAAAAAAAATAAATAACCAAAAAAGAAGTATAAGTCAAAATAACAAAAACATTTCCTAACCCTAATTTTCTCTCTCTTCTTATTCTTTGGTCTGTCGTCTGCCTCCAGCAGCGCTTCTAGGCTCCACGGCTCGCATCTCAAGCCAACTAAAGGAAGCTAAAGGTTTGGCACTTAATTTCTTCTTCTTCTTCTTCGTGNATCGCAATTTGAATAGGAATTCTACGATCCTGTAAGATCTGGGCCACTATTCATTTCCTATCAATTTGGGATTCTACTAGAGATTAGAGATTTGGACCGATTTATTTATTTTGGATCGTAACATCATAAGATGTGGATCGAGATTTGACAATCATAATCATAACCAAATCGAACATCAACCTGGGGCTGTTGGGCTCGGCTTGGGCTTGTTATTTTATAAAACGACCCGAATATGAACAAAAAAAAAGGTCCGTTTTAAAATCAAGCCAATCCCAAGACTGAGTTGCCCACGAGCTAGCCAAGCTTGTATTTTTTCTCTTAATTTTTTATTTTCACTCCTGAACTAAGTTGGACACAATTGAAATTCCTTTTCATTTTTTTTAAAAAAAAATCACAGCTTTATGTAGACCTGTCAAAATCTGACACGACATGATTAACTGACATGAATCAATACGATTTTAAGCGGGCTTGAATGAAATTTTAATAGGTTTGGATGATAAATAGATTGACCCGTCAGATTAAACGAGTCGTGTTTGATTTAAGACTTGTCAATCTATGTACTAACGGTTTATCTGTTTAAATAAAATTAATATAATAATTATTATTATTCAAAAAAAATAAATAACCAAAAAAGAAATATAAGTCAAAATAACAAAAACATTTCCTAACCCTAATTTTATCTCTCTTCTTATTCTTTGGTCTGTCGTCTGCCTCCAGCAGCGCTTCTAAAGGTTTGGCACTTAATTTCTTCTTCTTCTTCTTCGTCTCTCTCTCCTCTCCCATTCTCTCTCTGATAGTCTGGTCTGATGCACTCCTCTCTGTCACTCCTCTTTCTCATATTGATGCATTCACCACGCCACACCCACTCTCTCTGATGCACTCACCACGCCGCAACCTCTCTCTCTCTGATGCACTTAGATACACCCACCCACACTGCCCCCACACACACGCACCCCCACACACCAAATCGAGTTTGATTTAATCAAATTTATGCATTATTTGATTTGCACAAATTGGTTTATGTTTTATCAATTCATTTTGTCAGTCTGATTTGCACGAACTTGTTCTATTAGGTTCGTTTGTGTTGATCTGATTTGCACAAAGTGATTTATCATTCTTTGATCATGAGGGTGATTGTGGATATGCATTCTAGTGAAATTTCCATGATATGTTATTGATTCTCTTCTCCATAACATGCGTTCTAATGAAATATCCAAATTTTTACTGTTTCTTTTCTCTCCCTAACTTCATAAATTGTATGACAAATTGTATGCATTGCAGATATGCATTCTAGTGAAATTTCCATGATATGTTATTGATTCTCTTCTCCATGACATACGTTCTAGTGAAAAATCCAAATTATTACCTGCTTCTTTTCTCTACTTAACTTCATAAATTGAATGACAAATTGTATGCATTGTTGACATTTTTCATATTTTTTTAGCTAACTTATTATGTTTGTTGACATGCTTTATATTTTTTTAGCTAAATTATTGTGTTTATAATTTTTTTTTATTATATGGCTGATCCAACCAGGTAATCCAAACCGGTCCCTCGGCCGAGTCANGTTCTATTAGGTTCGTTTGTGTTGATCTGATTTGCACAAAGTGATTTATCATTCTTTGATCATGAGGGTGATTGTGGATATGCATTCTAGTGAAATTTCCATGATATGTTATTGATTCCCTTCTCCATAACATGCGTTCTAATGAAATATCCAAATTTTTACTGTTTCTTTTCTCTCCCCAACTTCATAAATTGTATGACAAATTGTATGCATTGCAGATATGCATTCTAGTGAAATTTTCATGATATGTTATTGATTCTCTTCTCCATGACATACGTTCTAGTGAAAAATCCAAATTATTACCTGCTTCTTTTCTCTACTTAACTTCATAAATTGAATGACAAATTGTATGCATTGTTGACATGTTTCATATTTTTTTAGCTAACTTATTATGTTTGTGGACATGCTTCATATTTTTTTAGCTAAATTATTGTGTTTATAATTTTTTTTTATTATATGGCTGATCCAACCAGTTAATCCAAACCGGTCCCTCGGCCGAGTCGATGTTCAATCCGGTTTTGATCATGGTTGTCAAAATCTCGTTCAAGATCTTAGGATCTTATGATACGACGATCCGAAATATACAAATCGATCTAAATCTCTTGTAGAATCCCAAATTGATAGGAAATGAATCGTGGCCCGGATCTTATAGGATCATAGAATTCCTATCCGAATTGTGATTTTACTGATCCTATTACTAGTTGTTAAGTTTGCTTGTTAGGTGCATTTAGTTATTAAGATTGTTTTAATACTTAAAGACTCAATCTAAATGTGATTCTCTCGTATACATTTAGATTCTCTTCTATAATTGTCAGTTGATTATGAAATTCTAGCGGATGAGAAAAGCTACATGAAGTTCATTTCACTATCAAAATCTCTATTCATTTGTTTGTCTCTCTCATTGAAAAGAAAAACCAACTGTTAGGTTTGATCTCACAAGTGATAATTGTCAAATAGTCATTTATTTTCACTCCTATNTCATTTCACTATCAAAATCTCTATTCATTTGTTTGTCTCTCTCATTGAAAAGAAAAAACAACTGTTAGGTTTGATCTCACGAGTGATAATTGTCAAATAGTCATTTATTTTCACTCCTATTTTTTTTTTTGATGTTGAATTGTTAAAAGTTGTTTATTCAACAATTTCTCAACTTTGCGGGCTCTCATTTATATTTGTCTCTCTAAAAATTAAGATCAAATACTTAAATTTTTCTACTTCTCACAACATCTCACGAGATTCATAGTCTGCCTTTGATTTTTAACTATTCAAANTAGTCATTTATTTTCACTCCTATTTTTTTTTTTGATGTTGAATTGTTAAAAGTTGTTTATTCAACAATTTCTCAACTTTGCGGGCTCTCATTTATATTTGTCTCTCTAAAAATTAAGATCAAATACTTCAATTTTTCTACTTCTCACAACATCTCACGAGATTCATAGTCCGCCTTTGATTTTTAACTATTCAATACTGAGACTGTAGTTTCCCAAATTCTAATCATATTTCTAAGTTTTTTGTTTTATATAACACTTGATGTACATATATGCTAGCCTTGCATATATTTTGTTCCTTGTCTTTTTAATTTGTAGGAACTTCGATTTATGTGAATTTATGCTTTATCAGTTTGACTGTGATTGTGACTGATTTTCATTGTGACTTTCTAATTTATGCTTTATCAATTGTGGTTGTGATTGTGAACATGTTTGATATTTTTTGCTTTTATTTGACTCATCATGTATAAAATATGGTATTGTTATAAATATCATATTTTTTACCTTAATTATTATGTGTTATTATTATTTTTATATTCTTATCATCTGACTGGTCTGACCAGTTGACCACATAATGTATGTTGTTGAATGCATCGGAAGGATCATATAATTCTTTTACATGCTAGTTGTATGATATCTTATTTCCTTCATGTAGACAATATCATGTACTGTATCAGTTTTTTATTCTTTTTGTGAAGGACTCATTATATGAGTTCTTATATGGAATTTTCTTCTGTTAAACACATCCTTATGGAGGAATTCATTATTTTTAGATTTCCATATTGAGCTTACACCATTTTTCCCATCTTGTTCAACTTTTGCTGTAGGTTTTTCTGAAGGAGGAAGATAAAGATGCTACAAAATGTTCCACACCAAATTGTACAATCACCAGCCAGATTAGGCCTACCCAACCATAATTCGCCGTCTCTTCAAAACCAAACCCCTCCCAAATTCTCCTCTCAAACTTCTCAATCTCATCACTCCCATCACCAAGGGAATGTGTCAAGTACAACCACCACCTCCTCAACCCTCCTTCCTCTCCTACCACCTCTATCTAGAGCACAATCTCTTCTCCTCCAAATGGCTTCCCTTGCCTCCAGACTCTTTGAAGTCTCTCCAAATCGGCCCCATTGGCTTAGTGCCTTCCGTGGCTCCCTTCCTTCCTTTCTATCTTCCCAAACCCAATCCTTGACACCAACTCCACCAGACTTCTTGCCTTCCTCCACCAAAGAAATCCTTTCTCTTTTCACAACTCTTCAAACTCAGCTCTTTGAGGCTGTTGCAGAACTTCAAGAAATTCTAGATCTGCAAGATGCTAAGCAGAAACTCACCCGTGATATTCGGTCCAAAGATTCTGCAATGCTTGCCTTTGCCAACAAACTTAAAGAAGCTGAGCGGGTTCTTGACATCCTTGTAGACGATTACTCTGATTATCGCCGTGCCAAACGTTCAAAGTCTGAGGATGATATAGACAATTCTTGTACCACAACCGTTTCAACTCAGCTAAATTTATCTGACATTTTGTCATATGCCCATAGGATAAGCTACACAACTTTTGCGCCACCAGAATTTGGTGCTGGTCAGGCTCCTCTCCGTGGGGCACTCCCACCTGCTCCACAAGAGGAGCAAATGCGTGCATCTCAATTATACAGCTTTGCTGATCTAGATGTTGGTTTACCCAAGTCCGTCGAAAGTGAGGAGAAAACAATTGAGCCACTCATTGAAACAGCAGCTATGCAACCAGTAGAATCCAATCCACTTGCTAATCTGCCTGCACTTCAGGGCCTGATTCCTCCAAATATTGTGGTACCATCAGGATGGAAACCTGGGATGCCTGTGGAGTTGCCTAGCGATATGCCTATTCTTCCTCCGCCTGGATGGAAGCCTGGTGATCCAGTTGCACTGCCCCCGTTGGATTCTCTTCCTGTTCCTCATAGGATCGAAGAGCAACAACCACGACTCATTCCTGCTCAAGGATTGGCGAAGGCACCTGAGCCAATACAGGTTCGGCATGTGCAGCTTGATATTGATGACGACAGTAGTGATTATAGCAGTGATGAGGTGAGTTCTGATAGTGAAGATTGACTGTCAGCCAAGTTTCTTCTTTCTGCTTGGTATAATTTTTTGCTTTAGATAGGAATGCTAGAGGCCTCCAAGGGTTGTGCCAGTCCTCCACTATGGAAAACCAAATTTGTAACTGATTCCAGTGCAGGAATCGATCAATTTTACCTAAAAACTTTTTTTTTTCAATGTTTGGCTTTCTTTGTAACATATACAAAGTAGTTGTTGGAGTAAACATGGATTATCGTTGAAATTTCAATCTACATCCGACCAAATGAATTCGGATTTTGATTGGGATGAGGATGGTATATGCACAGGTCCCATATTAACCTGGCATCGAGATTAATTATTGGGTGATGCAGTTTAAACTAGTAACAACTACATGGAGCCCTATGCATTGATTTTTGACTTTGTGACCTAGTTAGCCTTAACCCAACATTGAACTGCAGATTTCTCTGACCCAAAGTAAAACGAAAGCTCAAACCAAATATTTTCACTGAATGGAGAGGATCATTGAGTCGATGTAGCTCAGTTTTGATCGTGAAAGCTAACATTGAAATGAATTTAAGCCTCTTGAATCTAGCTCAGTTTTAATTTAGTGATCTTATTTGTTAACCTGATGAATTATTGTCATTGAATTGATAGTGAGTTTCAATTGATAAAGTCAACAAATATCGTCTATATATAACATTGCTCTTTTTTTTTTCTTTCCCCCCTTGTTGGGATGCTAGCTTTTTGATAGATGGGGATAATTCAAAATCAATACATTCAACCAAGTCTAAATAACCACATAGGCAAGCTTCCTTCTTTTTTATCGTACTCTAAACATAAAAGTGCTATATTTTTAAACACATAAAGTGATATGTTTTTAAACATGTTACGATTAGGACTGATAATGAGTGGTGTTTTGTAGAATTCATATTGTATTAAAATTTGTCCAATTTTATCCTGCTCATTTTATAATTGTACATGTCCAAATCCGTGTCATGTTAGGTTATTGCCATATATATGAAATGTTAGCCAATTTATTTCAGATTGATCCATTTATTTAGTGGGTTAATCATCCAATAAGTACAAGATTGAAGACAATACAATTGTTAGTCAAACAGATAATTAAACCAACATATATTTAATTGGGATTTTGTTCTCAATACTTTTATGCACCAATAATTAAGACATTGAGGGCTATATGCCCACTCATTCCAATGCCAATTGGGATCTCGAGCAGGAAGAACGAATGTTGCTTAAAGCTGGCCTGTAGGCGAAATTGATTCAATTACTTTGGTTTGATCAGATGAGGAAGTACTTTGAGCATCAGTTTATGTCAGGGGTTTGGGCTGTCGGATTCAATACAAGCTAAATTTCCAAGCAAAATTGACTTGGATATAGTTAATGGAAACCTAAAAACCATAGAAGTTTAGTATCCTTATGCTCAGGCTTAAGAGGAGTTGCTTAATTTGTGCTGGGGCGATAGTTCTACCCTCTAAGAAGGCTTCAGCAGGTTTCATTGGTACTGTGATTGTACATGCTTCATTTGCATGCTGTTTTTGAACGAGATACTTGTCTATTTATGCCACTTGAAATTGGGTTGTTGGCTGAATTGTTAGAGGGAGTAATTATCCTTGTTTTAGTTGCATTGATCAGCTTTGCTCTTGAGAGATGCCAATACCACATCGTAGATGTTGATTAGACTTTTTAGGAAGCCAAGCTAGAATGCTGAGTTTTCAGGATTTTTACCTCGAGTCAAATTACTTGTATGAGGCTAGATCAGTCTTGAAGATATGAATTCAGTCCGTTTTATTCCTTGCTGGAAGATGACAACAGTATTGGGGCCACAATCCTTCCACTTCGTTATCACGGGCAATGAATATGTGAAGGTGAGATATATCAGCTTTTGAAACTAGTCAGTGGCTGAAGGCTGGTACTTTGTTGTGTTTATGGCATCAAGGAGACGATTCATATGGCTTGATTGCACATTACAAAATTATTGCTGTGATATTCTTTTAAAATCTCATTAGGGTTTATTATCCATTTGGTTTCCAAAACATTAACCTTCGATGAGATTTGGGTAGAAGTAGCATATCATGTTTGTTTCAATGAAGGATGAACATTAGCATGTTTTTTGTTTAGAGCATGAAATCCTACTTTTGCTGTCTCGGGCCTCTAAATTATATGCGAGTTCCAAAAATTTTAGGGGTACCTTGATTTGATTGCACAAATGAAGTCTTCTTGTGGACAGTTCATACCTTCTGTAATAATCTTATCTGATTATTCATTCCTTTTTGTACTGGGATTATTAGCTTCTTTATCCTTGATGCCTTCCATTTTAAACTAGAAACATAGTCCTGGCTTCTGGGAAAAAACAAGCCTAGAGGATTGAGGACTCAGTGCTTTATATAGTGTGGCTTTGTTTATAATTACACTTAGTTTGGTCTGCTTTGATTTTATTTTCATATATGTTGATGCTTTTATCTACTTCTGCATGAGGAATGGTTAAAGGAAAAAAATACATTTGTAATTTGTGTTCTCTACTAGGTCGATACATGGAGAGTAAATGTTATTAGAACATAATTTATTGTCATAATTCACTATGACCTTTGACTTCAATAAAAAAAAAAAAAATTCACTATGACTTTTGGATTGACTGTAGAGCCCCTCAAATATTGGAATTTGGTGTTGATCTGATAGTTCTATTGAAACCGCATCATTATGTCAGCAAATTAGATCAGATATTTAGCTCCAAATAATATTAATCATTCAGAAATTATGGCCTTATCTTGAGTTGTTACCTAACAAGTAAGGCAGAATTTTATGCTAAGAAACTATATGGCTGCTAATTTATGTCCCAAGTGCAAAGCAATCGATTGATCCTGGTCTGTCAGCAGTTGGTGGAATTGTATTTGGTTATTTTCTGCTTGCGGTGAAAATCAAGCAAATAATTGAAGTTAGGTCCGCATGAAATAGGTGTATATACATTATCCACGTCTGATATGAAAACTAAGACCTATGTTCTTCATGTCCGTCTCATGCCGACCATGTTTCTCTCCAGTGCTCACTTTTCTTTGTCAGAGTCCCTAAACTCAAACGGCATACGACTCTTTATGTTTTCTTGTGCCCTAGTTTTTATCTGCACGATACTCCCAAATTGTGGTCTGATTTAAGCATTTTCACTGGTTAGTGTCATTTTCGAGTTTGTGTACAGTTATAATCAAGTTCGTGTCATAAAATTTCAGTGGAGTTAGAGTCTTGTTGAGTCGAAAATTTTCACCCCTAACTAAGATAGAAAAAAAAATGTTTTATTTTTTATTTTTAAAATTTTTATTTTATTTTTAAAAAANACCCCTAACTAAGATAGAAAAAAAAATGTTTTATTTTTTATTTTTAAAATTTTTATTTTATTTTTTTTTAAAATATAAATATATATTTTATTATTGTATTTATATATGAAATTAATGTATATATAATATATGTTTGTTTCAAAGGATATATAGACAAATAAGATGTATTTCAACATAAATAATTAACTTTATATCTATTTTTCTTTCGATTTTAAAGGGATTAATTTTGGTGAGTTGAAAGGAAAATTCATTTATCTATTTTTCGCTTCTTCCTATTTTTTCTTCCTTACTAAATATAATATGTTGTTTATCCCTCTAACTTTTCATTATTTTAACTTTTGATTTTTCTATTTTTTCACTATACCAAGTAGAGCATAAGTGACAAATCTCAATAGGTCATAGTATAATTTTCCCTATTTTCTTTGCTGCAAAACAGCAACTGGCCATGTGCAGAAAATTACTATATCGTTGTAGAACTCGAGCATGCATAACACACCATAATGTTGGGTGATGTATATTGCTTATAAAATATTATATAGTTTAAATAAATAATTGTTACTTATTATTTTGTCATTAATTTTTTTAAAGAAATCAATTTGTGTTTCTCTTGAGTCAGTACCGTCACAATTTCTTATTGAATATGTATATCTTATCTATGTTTAGGACTTCACTATGGTACCGATAAAAAAAAATTGATATCATACATCTAAAATTTATTACTTGAAAGTGTATTTTTATAACTTTTTTGGGTCGTTTTATAACTAAAAAATTTATCATTTTTGTGGGTAATTCATCACCGTTGTGGATATTTTTACTACTGTTGGGGTAACTATTTTTATAACTTATGTTGTGTACAAAAAAAAATTACCACTTTTGTGGGCGATTTAATACATATGTGGGTCTTTTTATCACCGTTGTAAGCATTTTTAGCGCGGTTATGATAACAATTTTAATTACTTTTTTGAATATAATAACAATAGTCAAAACACCCACAATAATGATAAAAATACCCACAAATATAATAAATTCGGTGTAATACCAAAATTTTATTTTTTAGTACTATAGTCATTATAAGTTAATTTTAAAAATTATAACTTTTAGTATAGTACCAAAAAGTGCGCCACAATCTTTATCTACAATTATTTAGGGGTTTAAGTTACAACTGGATTGAGTATGCTCGATTTCAAAATATTATGCTCGATTACAAAAATTATAATTTTTAAAGATCAAGGTATTATTTTAATGGTCAAATTGCAACCCGTAAAAGAAGATATTATAATTGATTGAAGTAATTCATGAGTTTGATGATCGATCACAATATTTGATGATCAAATCATGAATTATCTCAAGTAACTGTAATTTGCTTTTGAAAGATTTAACTTGACATTTAAAGAGATGTATCTAGACATTAAATGAAAAAAAGTAATTCAAAGTTATAATTTAATTAGGGATAATTTGTGTATGAAAGAACAGTATAATATAAGGAGTGAACATTCCAGATACAGAGAGAGAAGTGTGAGGAGAGGAAGAGAAAATTTAGTGTGAATGATTTTGCAAAAAATATTAGTAATCGTTTGATGAGTCTATTTGGCACAGTCAGATAAATTTATTAAAGGTATGTGTCTATATATATATATATATATATATATATAAACACACACACTTCTTGAAGGGAAGATTAGTTGGCTTCCTTTGGAACAACCACAATGGAAAGAAGCAGAAGGAGACCAAAACCATCACAACCAATACACAAACATAGAGTTATTTTCCTCATCTACTCTCTCTTATTCAGTCTCTTCCTCTTTGTCACAACAACATCAAAGGCAGAAGATTTTCCGGTTGGATATGGCTATTCGATTCGATCGACGACCGTTGACTCATCGGGGAGGTCGTTGACTGCTCAACTTCAGCTCCTCAAGAACTCCACTGCTTTTGGACCTGACATTCAGAATCTCAACCTTATCGCCAGGTAAGTCCTACACCTACTCAGTACTACCTAGATGTGATTTTTTTTTTTTTTCAATGCGGAATTTGTTGGGTTTTTTTTTTAAATAGTTAGGGTAAATGTCATAATTGACTCCTAAATTTTATTTTTGATTTTAATTTGAGTTCTGAACTTTCAATTGTTCAAATTTAGCTTTTCAACTACCAATTTTATCTCAATTAAGTATTTTTGTCAATTTTTACCGTTAAAACATTATGATTTAACACTTAAAATGGATCATATTTGGCTAGTTTCTGGTTAATCTAACGTTAAAAATAGGTATAAGAACTTAATTAAGACGAAGTTGATAACTGATTGAATAAATTTGGATAATTAAAAGTTCAAGGACCAAATTAAAACCATAGATAAAGTTTAGAGGTCAATTATGATATTTACCATAATAGATAATAAGTTTTGGTATATGATCATTGATAAATTATGTTTTTAATGAATAATGAAGTAATATGATTTTAAAATAACTCAATTATAATATATATTTTTTTGTACAGTAAGTATAATATATGAAAAAACTCTGCAGAAGTTAAACTTTGTTTTGTTGAAATTTAAACAAGTTTAAAATTTTCATTCAATATAATAGATTAAACTTTGTAGCATTACATAATTTGTTTTTTATATTTTATTATCTTTTTTTTTAATCCATTATTTTGAATATAATAGATTGTCAATGACATGGGAAGTAGGAATTTAATAAATAAATAGTGGTAGATGTAACTGTGGGGACCACTATTGGTTAGAATCTTCCAAAGTATATCATTGATTCGTTGACCACATAGAGCCAAGATTGCTATTAGTTAAAATATTTTTTTGTTGGGTTAGTTCAAGGGTCACAAATGTCAAGTTGAGTATTATTAATTTTATTTTTAATAGTTAATGATGTTTAGATTAATTTATACACATATCGATTAATTTTTTCATAGGCCATCTACGTCAAGAGTAAGAGATTTATGAGGGATAAATCACTTATAATCTGATTTTAAAGAGTTATTTACGATTCGAATTTAGGATGTTTAATTTTACAAATACTTTAGTTTTTAATTTCACTTTCACATAAGCCAATCAGGACACTTGGCTTCCGCTAGGAATGTATTTTTTTTTTTTTTTTTTTACGGTTAATTGCTATAAATGAATTATCCAAATATTTATGGTCACAAATTATTATTCAATAGGGTATTCCAAACTTTTTTTTTGGTGGTACATACTTATCCAATTATAAATGATATGAAATTGGAGATTTTCACGATTCAAACTATTGATATTTTTGGTTGGTGGGGATACATCAAAAACAAAATTATGATTCAAATGCACAACACTCAAATAATACGGTATTAACTTAAAAACGGTTTGGATTCTTTCAAGTTGTATGTTTTTATCCACATCAATCATAGGTAAATTCCTAGGGTCCCACATGGAGTCCACCACTCCAAACAGTTCTTAAAAATTTTAATAACCATGATTTTTTTATTTTACTTTTTAAACCCCTCTTTTACACCCAAAAAAGTCAATTTCAAACGGGTCATTATCGGGGTTATCCCACATCGAATAGCCTTAAGAGTGTGTGTGTATATAAGACGGCTATGACACTTCTCATTTGTTAAAGAGTTGTGTTGTAGTTTGTCTATCTCAAAACAAATTGTGTGCTTATCAGGGTGGTCCCCTGTGTGGTCTGTTGCATCCTATTTTAGGCCTGTTTCAACCTACGAGGAGGCCTTTGGGCCTGGGTGGATCAATGGACAAGGGTTATCCTATATCAAATAGCCTTAGGGGTGTGTGTGTCTATATAAGATAACTATGACACTTCTCCTTTGTTAAGGAGTTGTGTTGTAGTTTGTCTGTCTCAAAATGGGTTATTATCATAATAATATTATTAGTCTCACTTTTACACATTTACAATATAATTTTTTTTATTGTAGTAATGCCATATTACTTGGTCTATATTTTTGGTTGATCTAGCATTAATCATTCAATTTTTGGTCAGGCTAGATCTTGATCGAAATTAATAAAATATTTGTTGAAAATTCAAATTCTTGGTTATACTATTATGTGCTAATATTTTTTTGATTGATATTCCTTTTATATCCAAAAATTACATTTATTCCTCTAAATTATGGTTTTATGTCACTTTGTCGCTTGAATTATTGAACTTCTGTTTATATTATCTTCTAAATTATTTAAATTGATTTATATTTTCTCAAATACAAGCGAATATTATTTTTTTGATGGAAAATATTCATTTATTGTGACCAAATAAAATAAATCATGTGGTTTGAGGAATAAAATGAGATAAATTTTTATTTAATTTGTAATGGAGGTTAATGTTTGAGATAATGTNTATATGACAGTAAAACGTTGTAACTTTTGTTACGGTATCTCATTCGGTATGTAGTTGTCCTCGTCTGTGAATGACTGAATGTCAAATACGAGATTATCTGATGCTTCTTAAACAACTTTCAATTGTATTGGATCTTATCTGGGGTGCATATATGACTTTTTTGCATTTATGCTTGAGGGTGTATTAGATATGAAACCTTATCGCTATTGGTCCTTGATTTCCATTTATTCCAATATTTCTTGCTTGCTACTTTGGTTCAACTATTGGCACCGAGTATGACACGTTTAGGTTTTACTAATTGTTGGCAAAATGGGGCTTTTTAGATTTTCCTAAGAAAAGGCAAAGATTTTTGTTTGTTCAATTGAGGAATAATCTGTATACCTAGTTGATGATCTGCGAGAAAGTGATCAGTTTAGTTAGTTTTGAGGAGATGTTTGTATTTCTGGTAAAAATTGCTAATAGTCAATCTGTTTTCAGACTGTACCGGAGGTGAATGATTTATCCCATTTTGACTTGAAGAATTTTCTGCATTTGCAGGTCGATTTATTTTTAGATACCTTGAATTGATAGGTTCTTGACTGACAGGTCTATTTGTCATAGACTGTTGCGAATTCGACTATGATTAGTGCCCCTTTTTTTCGGGTTGTTATTGAAAACACCATTTTTTCCCTGTGATTAAGACATTTAGATGATGCTGCCTAAAAATAATGTTTCTCATCCCCATTTCTCTTCCTAAACATTTAATGTATATACATCATAGATTGACTCTTGATTGGAATTCTGACAAACATAGCATAGGCTTGTTCCGTAGCAAGCTTCGGGCAAAGCCAGAGCCCGATTCTCTTGACCCCAAAATCTAGTTTTGATTCAAATCCCTCCTTAATNACTATGATTAGTGCCCCTTTTTTTCGGGTTGTTATTGAAAACACCATTTTTTCCCTGTGATTAAGACATTTAGATGATGCTGCCTAAAAATAATGTTTCTCATCCCCATTTCTCTTCCTAAACATTTAATGTATATACATCATAGATTGACTCTTGATTGGAATTCTGACAAACATAGCATAGGTTTGTTCCGTAGCACGCTTCGGGCAAAGCCAGAGCCCGATTCTCTTGACCCCAAAACCTAGTTTTGATTCAAATCCCTCCTTAACCCTCACCCTGCCTGCACCACAGCCTATCATTATCCCTTACCAACCACCTCCCATCTACAATCTTGATAGAGNCCCTCACCCTGCCTGCACCACAACCTATCATTATCCCTTACCAACCACCTCCCGTCTACAATCTTGATAGAGTCCCTTGGAATTAATAAAACAGATACGGAGAAGAGAGAAAGGGAAGATTGTGATGAGATTGGGAACATGACTCGCTCTGATAGATGGTTTAAGCCAGACAACCTGAAAACAAATAGAGATAAAGAAAAGAATAAAGGGAAGGAAAAAACTTATGTTTTTTTCAAGGAAATCTAGAGGTAGGAATAGCATGTAGCCGAACAGCTTAACAAAGTCCCCACCCAAATTTCGTTCTTAGGTCTTGCATATGTCTAGAGAATTGCATAAGCTTCACATGAGCTTGACCATTGTTTATAAGAATGATNGTAGGAATAGCATGTAGCCGAACAGCTTAACAAAGTCCCCACCCAAATTTCGTTCTTGGGTCTTGCATATGTCTAGAGAATTGCATAAGCTTCACATGAGCTTGACCATTGTTTATAAGAATGAAGAGTTTGAAATGGTAGTAATTAAGATTCATGGTTATACTCTTAATTAAATTGAACTTTCTCTAGTTATAGCTATTTCTTTTTAACTTTTGTAATTCAGATGATTGAGAATCGATCTGTATTCTATTAGTAAACTCCCTGCAGACTTGAACATAATTTTGAGCATAGAAAATGCACAAGCTGTGAGGCACAGATGTTAAGAATCTGGAAAGTTGTTATATTGAGTGGAAGAAAACAGGGGCATCTTTAAAATTCTAACACGAGTTTCAACTGGGAAAAGTTTGCAGTCCTGTTTTCTCACAATAAAAGCTGAGATATGATCATTTAATGAGCTGTCATCTCCTGATCCCTGCATGAGGTGGCTACACTTCATGGTAGACGCTTCGGATTCTTAAAGTAGTCTCATCTCTCATGAACTCTGAAGCACTTCTGATTTCTTTTGTTGGTTTACAGTTGAAGAAATCATACTATCTATTTCATTTAGTTGTGTCTTCAGGCTTCACACTGGGTCCTTTTATATTATGTTATTCTGAGCTAGATTGGTTTTTTAGCTGCATTATTTGTAGCCATACAAGAATTTAGTTTGCTTAATGCCTACACATTTCACTTTCTCTCCTTGCTTATAGGATTTCACCAATGCCGCTATGGTTACCAAGACATAAATGATATTGAGGGTGTGGTTGCTGGCTATGCAAAAGCTGGAATCCCACTTGAAGTTATGTGGACAGATATTGATTACATGGATGCCTATAAGGATTTCACTCTCGATCCCGCTAACTTTCCATTGGACAAGATGAAGAAATTTGTTGAGAAGCTTCACCTAAAGGGTCAAAAATATGTGCTTATCTTGGATCCGGGTAAGTTGTAACAAAACTCAGTCGAACTGTATCTTTTGCTCAAACCTCTTGCTTCCAACCTTGATTCTTAGCTAACATAATTGATTAAATTATACTTGGTGAGCCAAGTCCTAATGCACTTTATCTCTTTTTGTTGATCGTGCTGCTTTTGTAACAGGAATTAGTGTGACCAAGTCATATGAAACCTACAAAAGAGGGATGCAAGCTGACATCTTCATAAAACGTAATGGGATCCCTTACCTGGGTAATGTTTGGCCTGGACAAGTCTACTTCCCTGATTTTTTAGATCCTGCTGGTGGAATCTTCTGGGGCAACGAAATCAAAATATTCCGAAACCTTCTCCCCTTTGATGGCCTCTGGCTCGACATGAATGAGATATCCAATTTTTTATCGTCCCCTCCCAACCCAACTTCTACCCTTGATGACCCTCCGTACAAGATAAACAATTCTGGAGTGCAAAAATCTATTATTGAGAACACTGTTCCAGCAACATCCGTACATTTTGATAACATTACAGAGTACAATGTTCATAACCTTTATGGATTCTTAGAATCAAAAGCTACTAATGCAGCTTTAATCAACATTACTGGTAAAAGGCCGTTCATACTCACTAGGTCAACGTTTGTGGGTTCTGGGAAGTATACCGCACATTGGACTGGAGATAATGCTGCTACATGGGATGATATTGCATACACGATTCCAAGCATCTTAAATTCAGGATTGTTCGGTATCCCAATGGTTGGAGCTGACATTTGTGGTTTCTCTCAAGACACAACTGAAGAGCTTTGCCGGCGTTGGATTCAGGTAAAAATTCATTGCTTTTTAGTCAGTGCATTAAAATCTAATTATTCCCCATACGCTCTTCATAGTACTTGNCTGACATTTGTGGTTTCTCTCAAGACACAACTGAAGAGCTTTGCCGGCGTTGGATTCAGGTAAAAATTCATTGCTTTTTAGTCAGTGCATTAAAATCTAATTATTTCCCATACGCTCTTCATAGTACTTGGAATGGAATTTTTAGGAGTGAAAGTTTCACAAGCATTTCATAGTCATTTTTTTTTGTTATGCTGGCACTATTGTAAGTCCAATTTCCCTTTAAAAGTTTACCAAAACAAAAATGAATAACTTTCATTCCATAGTTTTTAAAAATTGAGAACATTTATTCCTGTTTTAATTAGATGCTAATTATTGATGCCAACAATTTATTCAATCTAGCTCGGGTCTTTTTATCCCTTTGCGAGGGACCACTCTGACAAGTATACAACTCGTCAAGAGCTATATATGTGGAATTCAGTTGCTGCAGCAGCTAAGAAGGTCCTAGGACTCCGTTACAGGCTATTGCCATACTTTTACACCTTAATGTACGAGGCACATTCAAAAGGAGTTCCCATTGCAAGGCCACTTCTCTTCTCATTCCCTCAAGATACCAAAACTTACGAGATTGACTCACAGTTTCTCATAGGCAAAGGCGTAATGGTGTCGCCTGTGTTGAAGCCAGGAACAGTCTCAGTAAATGCGTATTTCCCAGCAGGAAATTGGTTCGACCTCTTCAACTATTCGCGTTCTGTGAGTGTAGTTCCAGGAAAGTACGTAACACTTGCTGCACCACCAGATCACATAAATGTACATGTTCGGGAAGGAAACATATTGGCCATGCAAGGAGAAGCCCCGACAACACAACTAGCCCGAAAGTCCCCATTCCAGTTATTGGTTGTCATCAGCAGCAGTGGAAACAGCACGGGAGAGGTTTTCTTGGACGATGGAGAGGAAGTGGAGATGGGCGGGGATGGCGGGAACTGGAGCTTGGTAAGATTTGATGGTGGCATTGTAGGGGAGAAAGTAATAGTCAGATCAAAGGTTGTAAATGGAGACTTTGCTATGCGTCAGAAGTGGAACGTAAACAAGGTAACATTGCTGGGGTTAAAACAACATTTAAAGAAGCTCAAGGACTATGAGATAATCATTAAGGTGGGAGGAAGGCTACAAAATGGGAAGCCAATGATCAAAGAAAGTTTTGATGGCAATTCATTCGTAATTGCGGAAATATCAATCCCATTATCGGTACCCATTGGACAAGAGTTTCAATTGGAGTTGACACTCAAGAAGTAATGAAAGTATGCAAAAGAGCTCAAAGCCACCCATTTCTTTTCAAATTTGCAATTGTAGCCTGACACTTTATGCTTGGTTAAAGCTCAAGCTTAAATAAAGCCTTGAACCAGTCATTTGTTGAAAACTTTTCATTTGTAGAAGTACTTTGTCTTCTTTTTTTTCTTCCATTGCCTTGTCCAACAAATTATATCAATATAATAAAGTAGAATGAAATTTGAATCTAAAAGACAAAGAGAAGTCTAGATCGTTTTGAGACAAAATATAAACACATCCAACGGACAACGTAATCCTAATATAAAAGACGGTTCAAATTATCTCAAAAATTTTGATCTAACTGTTTACAGTTAGTCAACAATTTCTTTTCTTGCCCATGAAGAAGCCTTTAATTGTAAGACTCTACACTTCTATCTCTCATATGTCTCTATCTTAAATTTGAAGAAACACAATAATAACTTAGATGGAATTCATTTTAAATTAAATGATCTAAATGTTATATTGTTTGTACNTTGAATCTAAAAGACAAAGAGAAGTCTAGATCGTTTTGAGACAAAATATAAACACATTCAACGGACAACGTAATCCTAACATAAAAGACGGTTCAAATTATCTCAAAAATTTTGATCTAACTGTTTACAGTTAGTCATGAATTTCTTTTCTTGCCCATGAAGAAGCCTTTAATTGTAAGACTCTACATTTCTATCTCTCATATGTCTCTATCTTAAATTTGAAAAAACACAATAACAACTTAGATTGAATTCATTTTAAATTAAATGATCTAAATGTTATATTTTTTGTACCTTAATTTAGGTTGATTTTGTTTAATTTCTAATTTTATGATAAAATTTTACATAAAATTAAAAATATTTCTATCAAACACACATAAAATACATAAATATCTCTAAGTTTAGTGTTTCTTTTTTTTAGTTTGACAANTGGAATTCATTTTAAATTAAATGATCTAAATGTTATATTGTTTGTACCTTAATTTAGGTTGATTTTGTTTAATTTCTAATTTTATGATAAAATTTTACATAAAATTAAAAATATTTCTATCAAACACACATAAAATACATAAATATCTCTAAGTTTAGTGTTTTTTTTATTTTAGTTTGACAATTTAACATTTGACCTCAATAACCGCATACACATCGTCACTACAACACAAAAATCAGTACTCAAATGGACAATATCATAATTTTTGGACATATAAATTTTTTAGTATATTGATTTTTTCAAAACCTTTAGTATAATATTTCATTAAAAACCATTATATACTTACTATATAATTTTTTATCCTTCTTATTACAAACTGATTCATACCTAGAGTACACTATAAATAGATCTTCTTATCACGCATCTTAGTACCGATGATTGATGTTTACTTCTTACTTTTTATCAATCAATAAAGTTTAAATTGTCTTTATAATCTATAAATAAAATCATCAAGTTATTATTCATACCAAAAATAAATCA